GAGCCTGTGTGTTCAAAGAGAGTTAGAACAAAAGTTTTGCACCATATACAAAATGTTTGATTTTGCTCACCGCTTGATTTTGTCTATTCCTGCTTCTCAGGCCTTTACTAGAATCAACTCCAGCACCTAGGATCCTTTTAAGAAGAAGCAAGAGGACTTTGTGTGATCCAAGCATTCAAAATCCATGACACAAATCCTCAGAAATGGCATAACTGCCTTCGTTATCACCAGAGTCTATGGGTAATAACTTTTGCTGGGGCCTTTTGGTGCCTACATTTTCATACTTCGGATTCTAGTCTTCTCTGAACTTTCCTCAGCCATTATAAGGGCTAGGAACTCAAAGTGCACTGAAGTAAGAGTGTAACACACGGCTGCTGGAACTGGCACTCCCAAAAAATGCCTATCATTTTCCATATCTTTGCCCCAGAAACCTAGATAAAGGCCAAGCCCAGTCTGGCACCAAGAGCAACAGAATTTGCCTCACCAAAAACATCTGGATGTGCTTGATGGCACTGGTGAGATAAAGAGAGCAGGGAACATTCTGAAAGACATGCAGTTCCAACCTGTGGCTAAAACCCATTGCTCAAACCTGAGAGGAGCTTAGAGATGCATATTTTAAATCTTTCCTGTTTAGATATTTGTTAAGAGATACTTAATCAATTATCTCCCTATCTTGGAAAGATTTTTTATTATTAAAAGCTACAATTTTTTATTATTAAAAGCACCAAAATGGGTGCAGATTCCGAGAGACAACAATGGATCTGTTACAGCAAAATATAGGAGGAGGTTGTTTTGCATGCTTTCTCCAAACACTGTATAGAAGCAGATGTGTGCAGTTTCATGGGTCAGGGGAGGAGGACGGCTGCTCTCCCAGTGATTGCACATCCTGCTACAGCAAAACCAGTAGCATTTAGCCTCTGCAGGAAGGTCTTAAGAACACATAAAGCCTAAGGTATATTGTGATTTCTTTCCCTATACAAAATAAGCAAGTATAGAGCTAAGCCAGGAGGTAGGAGGGTTATACTGTGCTAGATGGCAATCCCACCTTACGTAAGAGTCCCTATTCCTCCTGCTCCTCCCAGGGCTGGACACCTCCAAACTTACCCATACTTCAAATGGGAGCTGCGTCTGCTGAAATGTCCCCACTCACTCAGAGAGACGCTCTCTCTGTTGTTCCCTCCATGAACTCATTCATCTTCCCAATTGCTTTTTGTAGACAGCTGCTGAATCATGCACAGAAATGTTCATGGGAGGGAGAGAAGAGAATTACTTCCTCAGGCAGTGCTAGCAGCAAAGGGCAGCCAACGCAGGTTTCCCTGGCTCCTGCTGCAGAGAAGGCTCTGGGCATTGCTGGAGGCCCCTCTTCATGGCAGCTGCTTGCATTTGACAAAATATTTTTTTATTTATTCTCATTTTAGATGCTATTGACAGAGCTTATTTTCTCTTCCTTTTGGTAAGAACTGTACTCACAATGTAGGGAACAACAACTCTACTTTGGAGGCCCTTTCTGCTGCACCAGCATGTGTGCTTGCAGCCACTACATGCAGACAGACCCCTGCATCTCTCTGTCTTCTGGCAGTGTCAGTGGACAGCTTGGTCTAGACCGCAGAACACGTATTTCAGTTTGCTAGGGTTCTTCTGAATGATGGAGTAAGAAGAGCTGCAGCTGCTTCTACTGTGGTGGAGATTAAATATTTCCCAGAGACTGCTCCTGGGTCTATTGATTGTACTTCTAAATGCTGCATGACAGTGTGGCTAGGGGGTTAGACCTGAGCCATAGAAAACTTTCTGTGAAGGAGAGAGGGACACCATCTCACATGGTTAATGAAGGGAGCAGGTTGCCTGGAATGGCACACTGCTGCAGAGAAGTGTTTTAATGATTCTCTTTGTGCTGCTTGTGAAGCTGAAGAAGGACAGATGTCTGTGCAAAAGGTAGCAGATAGCCAGCTGAAGTGGAGTGAAACCACAGGAGCTAGAAATCCGAGGGGGATAGCTTTGCTCTGACTGATGGAAGGACTGGGAGAAGGGATGTTTTCTTGCAGGCAGGAATGGCTGCTGAAAGGAGTGCAAGTCTGTGTTCCTGCACACACGGTGGTGTGATAATCAATCTTTTGTGATTCTGACAGGTACCTGCAGAGGAGAAACAAAGATTACACTGACAGTGATTAATGCATTGCTAGCTGTCAGACTAAGAATATTGGTAGTGGGTAAATAAGCACTAACCCCAGAGAAAGCTGCAGAGGGTAACAGTACTGGAGGGAATTGGAGCTCAGCACTTATTTACCACAACCACTTTCTCTTTTCTATTTCTTGTTTGAAACCACTCTGCTTCCACAACAGGAGGAGAAATGGATGCAGGATTTCTGAAACACAGCTCTGCCTCCGACCTAGGTTATACATGAAAAAGTGGTAAATGATGCAGCTGACCCCAGGCTGGTTTGCCCTGGACAAGATCTGGCATTGTTTTAGACTTACCGTGATACAGCAGAGCATCTGCAAAGGAGGAAAACAGCTCTTACTGTACTGCATCGCAGCTTTGGATAGCTTGAAGGTAACTGAAGGCTCCACCACTCTGTGCAGTGTACTGCTGAATGCTTCAGCCTCGGTCTGAGAAAGGCATTGTACTGCCGAGTGCCTGGTGTCTCTGCCACAGTGTAGGCTGTGCTCCCTTTCACTGTCACCATGCCTGGGGCTATCTGTGCCTTGCTCCCTGTGCGGCAGCAGGATGTTTGAGGGTCTGCTGGGGAGTTGTGTAGGGCAGGACTTGGGCAGGTGCTCCCTTGGGCTGCAGTAGCAAAAGGCATTTCTAGAGGATGGCAATGCTCACTGCTGTGCTTCATGCACACTGGCTCCTGGGCTGAGGACGAGGACAGCACTGGCAGCCCTGGGTAGTGATGCCAGTACCTGGCACATTCAGCTGTGGGATGGAACTGAGATGGTTGGACTGGAGCAACTCTGGACATGCTTGGGAGCGGGATAACAGCCTGCGGAGGCTGAGATCCCAACCAGGAGGCAGCAGGCAAGTTGAGGCACCTCCAGGGACAGGCAGCAGCTGAATAGGAGTTGCAGTTTTCAACTGAGGTGGCCAAATTCTGCCAAAATCTTGTTTAATATGCCTATTGTATTTGCAGGTTTTCTTTCCTTTGTAAGAGTGGCAGCCTTTAATCTTGGTGGCTTGCGTTCCTTTTGTAAAGTGGAGTTATGAATGTTCAGCCCCATTTAGAAGATTACTGATATCCCTGAGTGAATGTTCCTGCAGACAACCACAGTATTCAAGCTATAGCATTGTGTACTCTGCCTAGTTCTCACATCACTTTCCAAGCTGAATCCGTGTACCTAAGAGCTGAGATGTCTGTCGGTGAGGTTGTAGAGTTTGGGTTTTTTTTAGGGATGTTTTAATTGCTCAGGAAGTGCTGGGGATGGAGAGTGGCTGTTAAATCTTGTTAACCCTGATGGGTGTGGCATGACCAGGCTGGGGTGTTCACACATCTCACCTCCAGCACTCAGCACTGCACAAGATTCACTGCTCAGGGATGGGCACAGAACCAGTATGTAGGATTAGTTATAGTTGCACACAGCTGTCATATATTTGCCAATATTATTCTGAGTGGCTGAATTCAAGTGCTTTAATCCTTTTGGTTAATGGGAAGAAAAGCAGATGGCACTAGCTACGTCTGTCTCATGGATCACTGTCTGATCCTGCACTCCTTGATGCCCATGTCAGGGTTCTCTTGTGCCTCTGGCCCTTCTCCTCCAGCCCCTGCTCCCCATTTTGTTCCTAACATGTTTTGTTTTGCTGGCTGGGCATTTCCTCAGAAATGCTCCCAGCTCCTACTTGTTTGTCATTCACTGTGGCTGTTCTTCCCCGGAGTGCCACAAAACAAGCCCACCTCTCCTAGTCCCACTGTCCCACTCAGGGCTCCCAGACTGGGCTGCTGAGGCTGCTTCAATTCCAGGACCAAGCTCCGTGCCATGAGAACACAGAGCCACGTTCTTAGGCTGATGTAAACTGCTGAAACTCTGTTGATGTTGACATACCTTATACAGGCTCAAAATACGGCTGAGAATAAGTGAATAATTCTACTGAAATATAGCCAGTGCTGAAGCATGCCTGTTCTGTGGGGATGCTGAGAAGTGAAAGACATTTCCACATTTCCACCCCTTTTTGGCTGTTGATCCACAAGCAAGTGCAGAAGAAAAGCTGCGGTGTAATGCATGAGTTAGTTTACCCTCTCTAAAATGTCACCAGCTTTGTGGAGAGAAGCAGCAGCAGTTCAGCAGCAGGTAGCCCATGTGGCAGACGTGCTCCTGTTATTTATATGGCTCCATAAGTGAACTCAGTGCAGCCTGTCCTCCAGCATTTCAATGCAGCTCACTCCTGAGCAGGGCAGCACCAGGCTGCAACCAGCCTGGCAATGTTGCAGGGAAAACCCCAACTGCTCCCAGGCCTACAAGGGGACGGTGCAGTGTCCCCTCAGGGCCACAAATGCTTGGCAGAGCAGCAGTAAGGAGATGGGTTAAGAGCCAGGAGAGGGAAGAGGTTTCCCTCAGTGTAATTCCATCCCTTTAATGTCTCTCTCCTTTCTGTTCACTGTGGTTCTGCAAAACGCGCCCAGATAGCAAAGCTTACCTTTCCTTACGCTTTCTTGCAGGAAAGGTGAGGAAAAGAAGAAATGTTCCATCTTGCAGCTTTAGATGTAAGGCACAAAGGTTAAAGGGCAGATCTGAAGCAGGTTTAGGCCTACATAACCAGAAATGCTGCAGGACAGGTCCCCTCCAGGGGGAGTGGAAGGAGAAGGGGGTTTGGAGCTGACCAGCTCTCTCAGGAGGGATTTGCTTTGCTGCAGTAAGGTGCTGTCCAGGGCAGTCTGTACCTGGAGTTGAATTAACATTGTTCAGATTCCTCTGGTTTTTTCAAGGGGTTGCAACATCTGCTGACATCTTCTGCTTTTTTTTTTTTTTTTTTTCTCCCTTTTAAAATATTCCCTCCTTTCCTAGGGGGAGCCAAGTTTGCAGGTTCCAGAAGGCTTCTCACATGGTTAGGCTGCAGGACTGTGGGCTGTGCTCTCCACCCTGAAGGGAGCAGAAGGGCCAGGTTGTTGGGCAGGGAGAGGTGGAGCAAGAGGCTTTTCCCAGAGCTGTTCTTGTACGCATCGTGGGGTTTTCCCAATGGGAAACACATCAGCAGCAACTATCTGCTGGGGTGGGAGCGAGCACTGCCTGCGCTATAAAGCTACACCCTGGAAAGCACTGCCTTGACCTGAAAGCAGAGTTTATTAACTCCAGATTTTTACAGCATAGCTGGCACGCCAACAACACTGTCTGAATGCAATGAATCACTTGCAGATATAAACTAGGGGAACGCATCTCCAGTGCTGCGCCAGCCTGAGTCACGCGCGGCTGTTGTGCCAAGTGCCAGCTGCTGAGCGGCAGCAAGCTCTTGGCTTTGCAACAGGCACTGCACACAGGGGCTCTCACCAGCTGCCTGATGAGCACAGCCAGTGGTGATGGCAGCTGATTTGTTGAACACAGAGCACAGGTGCCTTGAACAGCAGACTTGCCTGTTACTTAAAAGGAAGGAGATTGCCTAGGGCTAATTGGTCACTCAGCAGGGGGAGAAGGAGCTACAGGTCCTGCTTAGCTGCAGAGAAGCTTTACAGAACAGCTCTGGGATTTACCTCTGATGAAGGAAGTAGGACAATAGCTATCACTGTCCCAACCATCATGACCCTTTTCCTGCTTTGAGACCTCTAGAAACACATTTGCTGTGATATCTGTCTACAGGAGCAGATAGAAAGGCTGGGAAGTCTACCTCCCACTGCTGCTTGCTGCTGTCTTTCAGCTGGAAGTAACCAACTGTGGAGTTGAGCTGGTAGAGTGAAATGTACTTAGGCTCTACACCTGCATGCCCACAGCATCATCCGTCTGTGGGAAAGGACCAGGGACTGAGCACCCCTTGTGTTGCTGCAGCAGGCTTCCACTTGCTCTGCAGGTTGAGGGCTTGAAGCCCTGCTAGCCATACTAGGAGGAGTCTTTTATAATGTGTCCATAGGAAAGGATCAGAAGGGAGTTGGATGCAGCAAGAGCATCTGGCAGGATGGAGAAAAGCAGGAAACCCTCTTGCTCTGTCCCTTCTTTTGGATATGATGTCTCCCCTGCAAATGCTGCTGGGGATCCTTGGCATGTGCAGGAGGTTGGAGAGGTGAATGAGTTAGTCCTGTCTTTTTTAAACAACGGAAACAATGCCTATGGGCTGAATTTAGGTCAGATTGGAAACTAGAACTCTGAAAATAAACTTTTCTCCCCCCAGATGGTGCTGCAAAAGCCTTGTACTCAGGTAAAGCTTTATAATTGTTGAGCACTGAACAAAATTCAGCTGCTTCTAAGTATGGTAGGAATTGCTGGCTGAATGTTTTGTGCTACTGATGTGTGTCCTGAACTTTTTTTTTTTAAGTAACTGTTCAGGACCGCAGTGTTTGTTTTTGATTGGAACCTTGTTGGCATTTCTGCTGAGCAAATACAGTTATCAAATGTATTCAGATCTTAAAATTCAAGTGAGAGCAGCTTATGTGGGTGAAGGGATGTGCATAGCAGAGAGAGGTGGAATAAAAGTTCAATTATTTTTCTTCCTTTTGTGTTGCAGGACAAACCTTCCAGAAAAATGAAGGTTCTGCCACATGTTTTCCATAACCAGCCAAATAAAATATTATGTTTTAAAGCATTCAAGGTCAGAGGAATAACTTGGGCCCAGCAATTTTTCCTCCTCGCAATAGCTTCTGCTGAATGTAATCTTTAAAACTATGCATGTGGGGGGCCAGATCCTGACCCCCACTGCATCTGCTCTTCATTGCTGCTGAAAATGCAGAGCAGGCAGAAAGCTGGCTTAGCTGGATTGCTGGAGATTACCCTGACCCAGTTTGTCAGCCGCAGGGCAGGAGCCTGAGCGCCGTGGCCAGGGCATGGCAGAAGGAGGGGATCTTGCAGTGACATCTGTATGTCTGGGGACTTGTTGGGTGGGATTGTGGCTGTCCCCTTAATGTTCCAGCAGTGTGGGGTGGTCCTTGGCTGCTCTCAAAGTAGGGCTCCGGTCATGGGCAGCAGCCAAAACTCTGTGTTCCAGACTCTGAGTTTTTCTTTAAGGCTTTTACTAGGTTGGCTTCTACAGCCTTTTTTTGGGGGGGTGGGAGGGAGTGGGGGAGGGTTTAAAATTGATTTCTTCTCTTAACAATAATTTGGCCTTGGCTGATGTATAAAATGTCTGCGTGATTTAATAAAACGTCTGTACTGAGTTCACCTCTGATCGTCCACCTCTGCAATTCCAATTCTGCCTGTTCTGCTTTCTCACAAATTGACAGCGCTCTGAGCTTTCCTCAGAGATGTGGATCCTGAAAGAGAGCACAAGGAGGAAATCTCAGTTTTCATTACAATGTAATATTATAAAACATGCTTCTTTCTTTTGTAATAATGGAGAAAAGATTGAAAACATGACCTGAATATATTCTTCAGGCTCAGTAACTGGAAAGCAATGAATAAAGAACCAGAAATTCACTGAGTTCTTTGTTTGCTTGGGTTTTTAAACTAGCATCAAGATTTTGGAGGCCTCATTTTCAGATTTATCATTTGAAACAGGCACTGTTGGGTTCTACTGAATATTGCAGGGCAGCTGTTCCAGGTTGCTGTGCATCTTCCCTGCTCATCAGTCCCTTAACCTGCCCAAGTTCCTTCTGTTTCTAACCCAAACCAGTCTTTTCTGGATTTCATTTTGAAGCTTGGAGAGCTCGTCTATGTGAGGAAGCTCCCTTTGAGACTCCTTGGATTGCTTGTGCTCGCATGACCTGATGGAGCAAGGATGGGTGCGTTTCCCAGGAGAGAGATGTCTGGCCCTGTCTGCTCTGGTGCTGGTTGCTGCAGGATACGAGTGGCTTTCACTTATCAGATGATAAGTGGCAGTGTCTGGTAAAATACCAGCCTGCTAGGACCAGTGGGGTGGAAAGGCACTGCCCAGTTCAGCACATGGTATGTGATTTCAGGTGGTGGGATGGTACTGTTTCAGAGCACTGGTGTCTCCCCTTTTAGTATGTCCTGCTTTAACTTTACAATCTAGTAGAGCCGATACTTCTCAGCTTTGAGCAGACAGCCCACGATGTGCAGTTGGTGTCTCCTGGTCAGGTTTTCAAGATGGTGAATGGGGAGAAGTGCTGACTGAGATGACTTTCCTCCTCTCTTCACTGTGGAGAGTGAATTTGGATGCATTTTAAGACCTTTTTGCCGGGATTTTAATGTTTCACCACTAGCCAGTAGCAAAGGGAATTGTATTTTTTCTCCCCTTCCTCTGCAATATTCCTGCAGGTTTTGTGCTGTTCCCTGTCCTTTTCGTGCTTTGTGCTATGCATCCTGATCAAAGTCCTGCTTGTGGGTCATGCCAGACCCCTTGTTTCCTCCAGCATCCATCACTCACCTACTGGTGCAGGGAGATGTGGCTCCACTCTCCTCACTCCTAAGCATTCCTACTGCTGGCTCTGTTTCTCTACCTTCTGCTTTAAATAAGGACTTATCACAGGTCTGAGCTCATCAATCACAACCAAACTATATTTTCCAGATTACTTCTATGGTGTCTTCCTCCTTTTCACAGCCCCAGCTCAGTTCTCAACACGCAGGCTTTGTTTCTATATAACAATGGAACTGATAAAGCAAGAGAAAAGGGGAAATATGGGAAGACAGACCAACATTGAAAGCAAAGTGTGTGTAAGGCACATTTAATGTTATACTACTTGGCCAGAGGACTGCTGGCAAAGATATTGCATTAAATGAAATAAAGGCCATTTACCCTAGAAAGTTAACAGGGGACAGACAAGTAGGAGCCTTTTAATTCTCTTGGGGTTTATTGTGTTCCGCCAGCTGCTGGGGTTGCTTTCCTGCCCACAGCCTGGGTTTGCCCAGTGTTGGCCCTTGGCCTGGCTGGAAGTCCCAGGGGCATCCCATGAGACAGGAGGTTGTGATATGAAACCTCAGATTCTTTGCAGACACATTGAGGTGCCTGAAAGTGCAGAGTGGCACTTCCTAAAGGACACTAAGTAAGTTGTAGGGAGAGAGGAGGAAAATGCCCAGCTTGGGGATTGAGTCTGACCCACCTGGAAGCTTTGAGAACTCCCCTCCCCATTCTTTCCATCTAGGACTCCTAAATATGTTGGAAAAATCTGCTCCAAAGTAATTATCACTTCAGTTGAGCATTCCTGCCTGCCCAGCATTGAGAAAGGAGTCTCAGCAAGGTCCCCTCTTGCCATGTGAAACTGCTGCCATACCACACCATTGCAGCATGAGGGATGCATGGGTCCTGGGAAGACAAATTACTCCTCCAGCTGCATGTCTCAAGCTGATGTTGCTTTGCAGTGGGGCTGGCAAAAGCAGCTGGAGAGCCTTGATCCTGGGAAAAGATATGTTGGTTGCTTGGGTTGGTTTTAACTATGTAATGCTTTGTTGGCAGCCAGATGTGTTACAACACAGCTTGGAGATGAGATGGGACACTGTCTTGGAGCTTGAGGTCTGTCTGTCTGAGCCCAGGAAGATGGATGGGTTTGCAGTATTGTTTGAAAGCTGCACCGACCTGTAAGTCACTGTATTATTTACATAATTTTGTCTTTTTCTTTTACATCTGTATTTTAAACATCCGTTATGAGGCAGTACTGTTTTTAGTGGTGAGCCAACTTTTTCTTCTAAAACACATGTTCCCTAAAGCCTCAGTGCTTTATTTCCTTTGTTCTGATTTATTGCTGTTGCCTTACCACATGTGCTAGGCGCAGACAAGAAAAACTTCCCAAACCAACACAACAGCCCTCTCTACTCTCTTTCCTAGACCGTATACATCAGGATTAACACACTGAGTCTATTATATCAAGTGATTCAACAGTGAACTAATTTACCTTTAATTTCTTGGCTGCTTCCAAGTAGAAATGCTGATGGAGAGTATCTGTAGGTTAATCATGTGCAGACTGAGCTAAAGCCCAGTGAAAGCTGCTGTAGGAAACAGTTGGGATACAGGCTAAATCTGGAGAAAGAACAAGATTTTAAAAAAAATGTTAGGTTGACTGCATTTGTAAATCTAACAAAGGATTTTGTGAGTATCAGTTTTTATTTTCCTTCTGTCAGTACCCAAAATAGCCATCTCAACAAATGAACCCTCTTCTGTGAAGTCTCTATGATATCTCAGGGTAAGCTTCAAACAATTGCAGTTGTTCATCACTTAAAGAAATGTAGAGGTGCTTGAGATAGATAAATTCTAATAAAGGTGGCTTTCCTGGAGGTTGTTCAACAAAGCAAAGGGCTAAATTATTTTCACTGATGTTTATACTAAAGAGAGCATCACCTTTTCTTCCTTGTTACAATTGGAAAGATTAGCGTGGTGGAAGGGCAATACAAAAATGTAACAGAGGATTTGAGCAGCTTGCAAATAGGTAACAGCCACCAAACTCAACAACTCTGGGATGAAGCCTCTGTCTTCCACAGACAGATATTTTGTGTTTGCACTGGCTGTGCTAGCAGAGTGCTAGCATACTTTTTCCTCCAAGAACACCATTGGCTTTAGCAAAATCAAATTGACATTCTTCATCTTTTCCTAGTGGGGAAACAGGTTGTGTCTCAATGCTTTGTGAGCACAAAGGTCCAATAAAACTGCATGATTGCAAGAGAAGGGATATCCTGACAGAGAGGGAATGCTATTAATATTTATCTTCTTAATATTTTCTTTCTTTCTGTAAACTAGCCCAAAAGCAGATTGTGCTGTCAGGTACCCTCTCACTTATCGCTGTTGAAGCTGCTTTTCCTTGCTCATTTTCTCCCTTTGAGGCATGCTATTGATGTGAAATTTGTTGTCATATTCAGACCTGTTAACTGTACTAGTCAACAAAGGAAAGCATTCAAAAGCTGGCATAGAGAGACTTTTTTTCTCTCCTTTTTAAATGGAAACCAGCTTCCCTAGCAAACCATATTAAAGAATCTGCTCCCTTGAAACCAGTATGAGGCAACAGCAGCATTTGCAGCTTGTTGCAACATCTTGTCTTGCTAGATGGAGACACGCTGTGTTACAAGTGGGGCTGCTAGCAAAACTTCAGTGTAGGAGCCCTTCTGTGATCTGTCTGGTTGGGACCTGCAAACTTGTCTGAGCTGAGCTAAGGACCCAATTTTGCTTTTGTGAAGAATAAGCTTCAAATAGCCAAGCTAAGTTCAATGAAATTAAGTTTCTGTAACCCTAGACCTGAATTTGATAGAATTTGGACCAAGAGGCTACTTTTACTGGAAATCAGGTCAAACTTTGACCCCAAACAAGCAGAGCTTTCTGATTTTGAACATCTTTTTGGTATTTACTTGAGAAAGTCAGAGACAGCAATGAAACAGCAAATCAGCATCGGTGTGTAAAAGTGTCACCTAATTCCTAAAGGCAAAACCAAATAGAAATATAAAATAAAATGTAATATAAAAATCAGACCACTGCTGTGATGTGATTGAGAACACAAATACTGTATCATTCATTGAGCATCTTTATAATCATGTATGGTTGTAAATTCCTTTGGGAAGGATTTTAAACCATTTTTAAGTCTGATCCAAGCAGTGCTTACAGCAGAGTACTTGGTACCTGTGTGGGAATTGTTGAGTCATGGCCTGAACCACTGATTGAGCACCTGAGGAAAGGACTGGGTCAGCCCTGGGAGCACAGGTGAAGACTGCTACTGGGGAAGAATCTCTTTCTGGAGGTCCCTCCTCTGTGGGAGGAATCTTTCCTGCAAACCGAGATTTTTGGATACAGGTGAGCATTCCTTCCCTGTTTGTTTCTTTTTCCATTTTCACCACGATTATCTTTCTAGCTGTTACACCAACTGTAACAGTACCAAAGTCCAGTGAACAACTGGAACCAATATGGCACGTGAGAGCTCTGGAGGCATTTTCAAGGCGAGAACACTGTTCTGGGGCAGGAGAAAGTCAAACCCCACTTGCCTAGTTTAAACTATTCATGAGAAGATCTTTCTCAGAAAGATTTAAAAGCATGGGACCATTTTTTGTTTTCTTAGAAAACAGGAAATGAGTTTCAGCTATGCTCTTAGCTGATTTCTTAGGTGACTTATTTCCTATGATAACTTCTGGGGTCTGGAATGCTACAGAAATTATCTGAGGG